AAGAGCGTTTCTTCGTTACTCCTTGGTTCACCAAAGACTAGCAGACACCTTGCAGCAGTGTTTTATGAACACCAAAGTGACGAGGTAAATAGCAAAGTACCAAGGGATGATTGTTCAGTGTGAACAAGCAACGAAACGAAAGATTGACAGAGTGGCCATTGGAAGAAATTGAAACTCTTCCAGAGGTTGACTTAGAGGGCTGGTAATAGTATATAAATAAAAACAGACCTTTTGGCCTGGGTTACTGGTTCATACCTATCTCAGACTGCTAAGTGTTGAAAGTTGTTACAGTTGAGCACATGTGCATTGGGTGGCTCATCCAAGTCCTGATGCTCCTGTGTGGGTTATGAAGATAAACTTTTCATAAACGTTGAAGATCCTGGGTTTGTCTTAGGTGCTGTACATTATAAAGGAAGGTGAATTTGGTTGTGTTGCACAAAGCCCCGGAAAGGGTTTGCTACTCTGTGGAATATCACGCAGAGGAACAGCTTGTCCCTGGCCAAGGAGCACCAAAGACAGGTTATAGTTAGTTGGGAGGGACATAGGTAGAGCTTTTAGGAAAAGCCAAGCGTTTATACAGTGTATTTTAACTGCGGTTGCTGCTCTTGATCTCTCATTCTTGAGGTACTAAGTGTGTGCTTCATATATTTACTGTGTGATTATCCAGTGTATGGCAAATATTTTGTCTTGCTAATCTTTTGCCCAAGCACTTGAGCAAAAAATGTTTTGTGCAGGGGCTTCCTGAAAGATATTTTTGTAGGTTTCATTGAATCGATTTGCCTTCATTCATATCAAAGGAGTGAGCTCTTCACTGACGGGTTTGGTTGCTTTCATTTTGCATTTGGAGTAATTTTGCTAGGGTAGAGTCAATGTTTTAGAAGAAAAGAGCAAATTAAAATGTTTTATTCTCTTGCAAGTGAAACCCCTGCTCCTTTTTCACTTATGAATGAGTACTACTTTATTTTTTGTTTTCAAGTGACTGGTACTACGCGAGAAGTCCATTTCTGAATTCCAAAATGAGTTCTGACATTGTGGGTTATCTCTATGAGCTCACTGACGTTCAGTTTGACCTGGCATCAAGAGGCTATGATTTAGATGCTGCGTGGCCAACATTCGCCAGGTAAGATGGAAACAATTTGTTGCTTTGTAGTACCATGGCCATGGTACCTACCTGCAGAATTTGTAAAAGCTTTTGCTTTTGACGGTAGGAACACTTGTGTTAGAGCAGGCATACAGTTTCTCCATGTAATTAGTCTATGACCAACTTGGCCTTTTTTCCTTCGATATATTGCATATCAGAGATCAGTTTTGATGCTCACAGAAGATCATAATAGAGTCCTTCCACTAACTGCAGTTTGGGCTCAAATCCCAAGGTATGTTCATCTTCACAGACACAAGAAGAAATGTTCTTGGCCCCTTTCTTCAAAGATCTCATGCCCCTAATGACTGAATGGCCAAAGAGTCTGCTTCACTTGTCGCAGAGGTAGACCTGACAGTGTGCGTTCACTACAGGAGGCCTGATCCCATCTCAGAGAGGGGAACAACAAACACTGCTAGGTCTGATCCAGGTCCATGTATATCCGTGGAAGATTTCCAGGGCTGCTTGCTGCCACCATGTGGTTGAGCACTCAGCACACAGCAGTGCCGTTTTGTAGATCAAAACTGCCTTGGATCTTGTGAATGTGGGAAGTCATGGATACCAATCCCATAGTCTTCTATCAGCACCTTTAATATCCCTGTTTTGTTTTCCATCAACTTCAGTGACTGTTGGCCCAGACAACAGACGCAGTTATGTCTTCTTGTTTGTGGTAGTTATAACTAGATAAGATGTAAAGATAGGAATAGAAAAACAGGTATGTATGTGCTTAGTCTTCTCTTGTTCCTTCATGTGACTGATAGGAGAACACTATCCTCCCTTGGATCTTCAGCTTATTTATGGAAGCCCCCAAGTCGCAGTTCCAGCATGAGCAGTTTAGTGAGCAACTATTTGCAGGTAAGCAAATTCAAAATAAGTGTTTGAAAAGAGCTATTACTTTCTTCGCACAGTAGATCTTTAGTTAATGGCATAGTTTCATAGAGCTTGATAGTTTTATGATGCTTGTGACTCTTATAAGAGTAAGGTACGAAAGAGATTTTTAATTAAAAATAAAGAGGATGATCCAGTAGCTGATTCAATTGAACATGCAAATCTTTTAAAGGAAAAAAAAGATACTTAAAAGATAGCATAAAAAGAGTATGTGTTCGTTTATGTTTTGTGAAAATAACCCTTTTCTCCTTTAAGTTCATGTTTTGTAGTCCTATGTACACAAGACACAATGTCACTGTGCTTTAAGAAGCTAAATTCACCCAGTGATGTCATTTGAACAAAGCTTATAAATGCATGTTTAAGTTCTCTTGAAGCTGTTACTAACAAATAGGAATAATTTAAAATCTGAAGTGCTTAGAGATTAAGGTGGTACGAACTATAGAAAAGCCCATAAATCAGTCAGTCAAAGAGGATATCAATAACTCGAATTCTTAGTTGCTTTTTTTAATCCTGACAGGATCTCCTCAATGTTCTTATCATTATTATCACCAGTAGCCAGCAACAAGAAGCTAAGCCATCCTTATTTCTGAAACTTTTTAATTTTTTTGTTTGAAAAATGCAACTCTGAATTAAATTTTAAACTCCCTGCTTTTCCCCTTCTGTTCATTTAGGCCCAAGAGTTTCCCTCCAGCCCTGATGCAAATAACTCGCTAAATGTTGAACACATTGAGGGCTTTGAAGAGATGCGTGTAGAACTTGACCAGGCTGAGCTGAGACAGAGAGAGCTTCAGGATCGAATTCACCAGCTACAGATGGAAAACCAGGAGCTGCAGGCAGCCATCAGCCTTCAGAAAGCGCAAGCACAGGTAGAAAAGGAGAAGAGTAGTAACTACAGCGAGGAGAACTCCCGGCTGACAAAGATGATCACAGAGTTACAGAAGCAGTGTGAGGTCTCCCATTCCACTCAGAGCACTGTTCACGATCTGCAGAAGTGCCTGCAGTCCCTGGAACTGAATGCAGTGGAGCAACAGAAAGAGTACTCAACAAAGCTGGAGCAGCTGGAGACCAGCAAGGAGAACTGTGCCTCAAAGCTGCAGTTGTTGAATCAGGAGCTGGAGGCCTCTAGGGCTTTGGTCACTATGAAGGATCTTTGCATTGATGAACTTAAGGCCAAGCTGAGTTCAACGAAACAGAAGAACATGGAGCTCCTGGCAAAAGTTGATGCCGCCTTGGAGGAGAAAGGACAGCAAGCCACAGCCCACTGTGACTCTGCCATACAGATACAAGGACTGTTGGAGAAGCTTCAGGAGAAAGAAAAGGAAAAGGCAGACATGCAAAAACTCAATGACGAACATGCATCTCAGCTAAAAGCAGCAAGAGAGGAGCTACGGTTGAAAGAAGAGGTGCAGAAGGAACTGGAATCCAGATACAATCGCCTCACTGCTGACTCTAGGGAAGAGAGCGAAAAGCTGCTTGGGAGCCTGGAAACCATGGCAAAGGAAATGGAAGCGCTTCAGAAGGCCCTGACCCTGAAAGGGAAGGAGGTGGCTGATCTCCAGACCCAGGTAATGGGGTCGCTGGCTCAGGTGGGGTCACTGGAAAAAAATCTTGAGGAGGCAAGGAAAGAAAAAGAGAAACTTGAGGAGGAGTGCAGTAGGAGGGAAGGAGCACTGAAGCACAAAGCCCACTCTCTGGCAGAGCAACTTGAACTACAGGAAGGTCACTTAACAAAGGTGAGTCACACTGTGCATAGCCTTGAGGAACAAAAACAGAAAATCTCATCTGAAAAAGAGCACCTCAGCCAGAAAGTCAAGCAGCTGGAGGAGCAGTTGGAGCAGCAAAACTCTGCAGTGAGTGAAAAGGATGAGGAGAATCAGAAGCTGAAATCAGAGAATGCAGATTTGCAGCAGGCCAAGAAAAAGATGGAAGAGAAGTTGAAAAATGTGGAAGAGTCCAAAGCCTCCCTGGAAGCAGAGGTGGCCAGGCTGAGAGCCTCTGAGAAACAGCTTCAGAGTGAGATAGATGATGCCTTGGTGTCAGTCGATGAAAAAGAGAAGAAGCTCAGGGGCCAGAACAAACAGCTGGATGAAGACTTGCAGAATGCCAGGAGGCAAAGCCAAATTCTGGAGGATAGGTTAGACGCTCTGCACTCAGACTACAAAGAACTGAAGCAAAGAGAAGAGGCAACCAAGGAGTCTTGTGCTCTTCTTGAAGGACAGCTGAAGAGAGCCAAACAGGATTGTTTACAAATGGAAAAGAGCTTGGGCTCCTTGAAAGAAAGCGAAGAGTCTCTCCGATCGCAGCTCACAGAGAAGGAGGCAGAACTGCAAGGCATGGAGAATCAGTACAAGCAACTAAGAGCAGAAGCTGAAAGACATAGGAAGAAAGCAGAGATTCTTGAGGTGGAAAAGCTTAGCATGGAAAAGACATGTCTTCACCAGACAAAGCTGATTGAATCCCTCACAGCAGAGAAGAAATCAGTGGAAAAACACCAACTACAGCAGACAGCTTTTCTGGAGAAGGAGGCAAAAGAGCTGGCCTCCAGGCTGATTGTGAGTGAAGAGCAGCTGCAGGTCAACCGAGGAGAAGTGTCTAGGCTGCAGGCAGAAGTCCTTGACCTGCGAGTCAAGCTTCAACAGACCACTGTTGAGAGAGAGCAGATGAGAGGTGAGCTGGCAGTCACAGAGACTGTCTTGGGGGAGCAGAAAGTGCATGTCCAGCAACTGAAGGAGGAGAGTGAGTCGCTCAACAGAAACCACATGCAAGAACTGATGCAGTATAAAGAGAGAGAAGAAGTGCTGAAAAAAGAGCAGGAGAGGGTGGCCCATCAAAAAGCTGAGCTGGAAAATAATTTGCTGAACCTGAAGGAAGAGCTATCCAAGGTTAAGCAGTACTTGGAAGCTGTTAAAATGGAAAATGAAGAAAACAAAGATCTCCTCCACAGGACCAACACTGATATGGCTGAACTGGGTATTCAGATTTGTGCCGTGACCTCTGAAAAGGTAAATACAGAAGAGAAGTTAGCCAAGGCCACAGGGAGGCTCAAAGAACTGGAAGAACGGACTGCGGAGGAACAGGAGAGGCTGAAGCTTGACATCTCTGCTCTCAGGCAGGAGAACAAGAGCCTGCAAGAAAAATTGGAGGAAGCTCAAGTATGTGCCGCGGCTGTCCCGAGTCTGCAAATGCAGCTGGAGACAGCAAAGAAACAGGCACAGAGCTTCCAAGAGACCAGCCAAGAAGAGCTGTCCGCAATAAAATTTCAAATGAGCACAGAGATTCTAAATTATCAGACAAAATACAAGGTAAATTAATGTGATCGTTTATACCTCAGGGAGCTGTGCAGCATTTCCCCTGCTTCATCTTCTGCTGCAGAAATTACTGGGTGAAATACTAAGGTTTGTGTTGCTGAGGCTCTGAGAATAGCAGATCACAACTAGCCTTAGCCTGAGAATCTGAAAATGTCTCTACACTCACAAGCTGGGTGACTTGAAGTAAAATAACCCTCTGGAGTCTTTTGAAGGTGTGTAATGTGGCCCTGTGAACACAGTGGAGGGGCATGTGGTATGGAAAAGGCAGCCAGTAGTGGAGAGGGTGATAACTTTTTATTTTGGCTTCACCGCTAAAGGTAGCATTTCCTTGAGTTTCACCCTCAGATCACAGTCTTGATTTTTTTTTGTTTTTGTTTTTTGTTTTTCTTGCTATGAACGTTGTGAGACCTGGCCCTCGCCATGGCCCTAACACTGCTTCCCCTGAAAACTGATTTTGGTGAAAGCAAATTTAGACTGAGACCATATGCTTTTGCAGATAATTCCCTCATGTATTTTTGTTTTTGACTGCTCAAGGTAACAGCTGAGAAGATCAAAGTTTTGCTTCCACAAAAGCATGAGTCAGCCCTGTGTATGTGAAGCGGCACACCTGAAGGCTAAAGATTTTAGTGTGTTTGTTCTGCCATTCTGAGATAGTATCTAAGACTGGCAGCTGATCAGAGGTTTGTGCCACTGGGTATCCAGAAATCCTGTGAGTCTAAGAAAATTGTGTGCATTCAGTTGTGTTTCTTTTTCATATGCACTTAAACCTTAACATGACTTGGCCTATCTTGCTCTTTTGAGCCAAAGCAATTAGCAAGCAGCACTTTCTTTTTGTTGAAACCTGTAATAGCCCATAGCAAGTTTCAGTAAAACACAGCTTATCTGCCACCACAGAAGAGAATTTTCTTGAATCCATGAGTTGGGTGCCTCTTTAACTCTGTCTTTCATGAGCTTGAAAGGGGTGCTACGTTTATCCCATATGGGACAGTAGAGCACTCATGATCCACAGCTGGCAGTTTCTTAGATGAAGGGCTGGCCACTAGAGGAACGCTAACTCCTGCCTCGATCTCTCTGCTAGGCTGTCAGTGAGGAGTGCAGGAAAGTACAAGAGCAACTTGAGGAGCAGAAGCGACAACGGTGTGCTGCAGAGGAAGAGATTGCAGAGTTACAAGTAGGTGCTTGATCCAATTAAAAGGCAGAGGTGTTTGTGTCAGCAGACACTAGTGTTATAATCAAGCAGGCAGCTGGCATTTTTGATCACTGACTGTGAGCCTGAGATTGTCCTTGAACAAGTACGGGTGCTGCAGCCAAAATACTTGAGAACGTAAAGTTAACCACTGAAATGGAGATGATCAAAGGCACAAGCAGCACTTAGGATTTGTCCTGCTTTGAAAGCCAGTCAGGTGTTGTCTAAGACCTGGCTGTGTGTACGCTTCTTAAATGGGGGCACAGTTTAAACAATGTCTGTCTTAGGCCCTGTATTGCTATCCCATACAATCCCGCATGTGGATCCAGCTGTTTGTAGACCGCAAGAGACACTGAATAAGAACTGATATGGCTGAGAAATAGCCCAGCCAGAAAAAAAATATGCGTGCGTACATACATAAATGTATGTATGTGTGTGTAGATATATATATATTTTTAATGCATTTATCAAATAGTTGGGTTAAGAAGGCGGAACTGAGGTGTCAATAAAAGGTCGGGAAAGCAGAAAGTTAAGGTTAAGGAACCTGGCCCTGCCTGCTGATGGAAATACATACACCTTTAGAGGCCTGAATACAGTTTAGGTGCGTTAACTGAGGGTCAGCATTTGGCAGATTTGTCTGCAGAGGCTGGCTGTGGAGTAAGTTTTTGTTTCCGCTGTCCATCATGTTCCGTATAGCTTTAATGAACAGGTCAAAATCTGGCTATTTAGCTCTTGTGGTTTTTTTTTTTTCTTCTGAGGCTTTTGGATGGTGAAAAAATCTTCTAGAGCTTATTCTCTTGCCATTGTCCTTAAGAGATTCTCCTTGATAAGGAGATAAAAGCTGTTTACATGGGCTAGTAAGAATTATAGACACTGTTTAATGCTATCTTACTTCAGAGTTCATCCCTTATTCAGTGTGACAGAAGTAGTCAATCATCAGTACACAATTAATTAGTGTCCGCTTGTACAATAAAATCTTGATTGATGGCTTGGCTTTAATTGGCTCTTTCAAAGCATTGTTTAGGTGCCTCAATAACTATGGAATACTTGGTAAAGTGCTGTTTTTCGATGCAAGTAAATATAATTATTTATTTTGCTAGGCTGCAAACACAAGTTTGTCTAGCAAGCTGGATGAAGCAAGAGAGCAGCTGGCTGAATCTGAATCTGCTCGGCTGCAGAAGGAAGAAGAGGTGATGTCTCTGAAAGGACTTTTAGAAAGGTGGGAATTTGGGTTCTCTTACACAAGCTGTTATCTAGAAGCCAAGTGAGGAGCCAGTATCCAAAGCCTTATCGCAAATTGCTATGGGATATGAAGCAGCATGTGCCACAGGATTTATGTAAGGGAAATCGTGCAGAGGCGCTCTCTAGGAAGATCAGATTGATACCTCAGAGGAGAAATATGTAAATTACGCAGCACTCATGAATTTGGATCCACGGTTTGGATTTTACTGCTTAATGTCGCTGATGACTTAAATTCATTGTCTCTCTTCCTTTATGAAACTGCAAGGCATTTCATAACCTCCTATTACCCTTATCGGTTAGTCACAAGATTTAAATAGCAAAACTGGCTTTTGGTTTTCTTTTTTTAAATAAGGAATGGAAAATTTGCAGTTTTTTAATTTTTTTTTCTTTCCTGTCCAGGATGTTTCAGGGGCACAATAAGATTTGTTTGAATGGGACCACATCCTGCATGTCTTATTCAGCAGATTTCTTACCAGTTTTAAGCATCTAACTCAGGCTATGTTTCCAAGGTCCATAGTGTGGATCTGTACACTGCAGATTATCTAGCAGTCCAAAATAGCTCTTCATGAGGCAGGAGCACACACAGTACAGATGAGCTAGCCAAAGCCTATGTCACATTTATGTTTTTGTGCTAGCGCCATCTTTCTTTGTGGGAAGACAGATGATGCTTGATCTACAATGAAAGTTGGCAGTAAAATATTTAACTCACCAAAACATTTGAATTCAGCTGAATTGGCTGAGTGCGTTTAGAGCAGCTTGGCCCTTTGTGTTCTTTTGCCTTAGTGTTGTTCACCCAGTGCTAGGCCTCATAGTACTAAAGTTACAGTAGCATACAGTACCAGGACCTACATTCTGTGAAGTTTTCTGGGGACACTTACGTCCTTGCACTGATTGTGCAGTGAACTTTGGTTCTTAACGTCTACTTTTTGAATTGCATCTGTGTTAGATGTTAGAAGAATATACTGAGAAACTTCTTTCTTCCCTTTTGTGAATATGAAAGCTGTGGAGGAATATGTATTAAATGGCCCTGTGTAAAACCTGCAGATGCTAGGTAACTTGCAGCTATAGGACCTTACCTGCTAGCTCAGTTTGCAGCAGCTAATGGTCTTGGCTTTGAAGGACACTAATTTTATTTCCAGTGTGGCAGCCATCACAAGCCTAGCTGTAAGCAGGGGATCCAAGAAGCTGCTGTTTGCTGACTGGGTTCACTGGATAACAGATCTGTGTGTAGTTGCTCCGATGCAGAAAACTGAAGAGTTTCTGGTTAGCTATGAAAATACACACACTAAGAAAAATTTCATTGAGGCTACCTGTTTATCACAATGGATGACCCCATTCTCCCTTAGAGAAGACTTTAATGCAAATGAGTTTTAAAAGGTTCTTAATTGCATTTGTGTTTGATCAGGACCCAAAAGGAAGCTGATGAAGCAAAAGAGCAAGCCCTCGAATACGGTGAGAAGCTCGGCAAGGTGGTAGCAGAAAAAGATAGCAGCGACCAGAAGTTGTTTGCCGAGCTGGATGACCTGACGAGAACAAAACAGTTCCTTGAAGAACGTTTGATAGAACTTATCAGGTTAGCATCAAAACAAACAGCAGGAAGAAATTAAAATCCTGTCTTAGGATTTTAAGGCATACTGCCTAGATGTGCCTAGATACTGCCTAAAATCTTATATGCCTGAGTTGAAGGTACGGATAATGGCCAAGTTCATCAGCAGATGAAATTTTGCTTTTCCTTAATGCAGTCAAAAATATAAGACCGAAAGTGATCTCTTCCTTAATTTCCTGTCTCTTTTGCAAAAGCAGTGTAGTTCTGTACATGGCATGCATTTTTCTCCCTCCTTCCCAACAGTAGTTTTCCTGACCCATCTTTATTCCTGAAAGCTCCTTGGAAGTTACAGCAGTGCGGTTTATACTGTGAAACTTTCACCAGTGTTTAGTTTGAGGTTGGTTAACAGCAAAGCAGTATCGATACTTCCTATGCATTTTTCTTCCCTTTAACTGTGTCTCTGCAGAGATAAGGATGCCCTGTGGCAAAAATCAGATGCTCTCGAGTTCCAGCAGAAGCTTAGTGCAGAGCAGAAGTGGCAGGGAGACACAGAGATTAACCATTGCCTGGACTGCCAGAGAGAGTTTTCGTGGATGGTGCGCCGACACCACTGCAGGTCAGTTTGTGGACTCTTGATATGCTATTCAGAAGGAAAAGCCAGTATGCCAGTTTACGTAGAGAAAATACTTCTTCAAGTTCACAGGCAAGTTGTCAAAAGCATTGATACATGACAACGTAGAGGGGAAAAGAACAGGTGGGTTCAAAAAGGGATAAAGACACTAATGGGGAAAGGTCTTTTGACATCTATTAACACAAAGGTCTGGATGCAACCTCGGATTTGGGGAGTCTTATCAGTTTCTGATTTCTGGAAACCAAGAGATTATACTAGAGAAAGAATCACTCCTTACACGCCATGTTTCTTACAGTCTTTCCTCAAACTGACCACTGACCTGTGCATACTGTAAATAACATTCACTAAAATGGTTTTGTTATTGTGATTAGAATATTCCAGAACACACCCAGCATGGCGTGCAACTACAAATATGGTTACCTGCCTTAGGTATTTGGAGAGATAATTACCAATTGCACAGTAATCTTTAAAAGAAATAAAAAGTTCTTATTAAATTAGTTGCTCTACCGTTAGCCTGCTTGGAGTCATTAATTACCTGACTAATATTTCTTCAAATATATTTAAGTTCAGATAGGTACGTTTCAGTGCCTTAGTGAGATGTTGGCTTTGGCTCTTTACTGTGCTTTACCCTCATTACCTAATTCATCATGTAAGGCATGTAGAGCTGGGACTGTTTCAATTGCATGTTAATGTAGGGAATGTTCTGTGGTGATTAGTGAATAATGAAGTCATTTCCAGCAGCAACTTTCAAATTACTCATTTCTACTAAAACCTGTGAAAACTGTTCATGTTTCCAGCAATACCTACTAATAATTCAAATAATTATGAAAACAAAAACCACTAAGACTTCACAAATGGCAGTAATCCCTGCTGGGTGCTTTTCTTCATAAAAATGTGAATGTGTTCATTAAAATGTATTTAACGGGTTTAATAATGACAGGCTGTGGAGGGCGGGGAGGGCAGGATCAATGAACATACATGTATGTCTCTGATATTGACTGTTCTTCCCTTTCTGAAGGGGGTGCAGGGGTAATAGAGTAAGTAGAGGCATAGAGGCTTGTTCTTATACTCATTTTAATCAATTAGAGTTTTGCCCTAGCTGAATATGAGATTTGGCCTGTGTAATATTATTAAATGCATATTCTTTATATGTATTCAATATAAGTATTGTTTATTTGTATTGCATGTTTGTGGGTATTTAATTCTTTTTATGTATTTCTGTATATTTAAATGCCTAGTCTTGCTTTTTTCCAATATTTTTATGTATTTTCCATTTTCCCTATTTATTAAGAAAACAAAGATCGAACGTGCATTTCTGTTCCCTGTTGACAGTCAAGAAAACTTGGTTAATCTCAGAAAGCAGCACAGTATGTATTATGAGTTTCGCCATGGATGTGATGTTCAGGCTTTTACAGTGAGCAAAACCATTATGACAAAGCCCCAGGTTCTGTCACATACATTAGATCCACCTATAAGTGGTGACATACTTACACCTTTGTTTTTGAATCATTTCTAGAATGTGTGGTCGCGTTTTCTGCTATTACTGCTGCAACAACTACATGGTGACAAAGCATGCCGGGAAGAAGGAGCGTTGCTGCAGAGCTTGCTTTAATAAGCCCAGAGTGGTTGTGGACTATACAGATGACTCTGGGTCCAGTGCCAACCGGGAAGGATCACCAGCTTCATTGGAATCGCCAGTGTCACCAACAGAGATGGCTTTTGGTTAGTGTACTGTTTCACATTCTGCTGGGAAATAAGTAGAGTTCTTGGATGTTCTCCGAGAAACCGCATGGTCACCTCCTGCTTCATGAACCTGCATGCTCATGGAGTGTTGTCAGGGTGGAATAGGTCCCATCACTGGATTTTGTTAGTATTTCCACAAATCTGCATGTAAATTAAATGAGGATTAATCAGCCTGAGGATTTTAATTGATTCTTAGTAGTTGCCTAGCGCTTCTGTAAAGGGAGAGGAACAGCCCAGTCTTCCTTCTTAAGTGTTTTCTGTTGGTGGTGGTGATTCGTTGCCTGTTTTTTGGGTTGTTTTTTTTTTCCCATACAACCACAGATACTTACGCCGATGTTTCTTTTGATGTTCTTTTATGGCACAGTTGCAAGTGAAGCCTCTAAACCACCAGATGATGCAGTGTTTGATATAATCACCGATGAGGAGTTGTGCCAAGTACAGGAATCAGACTCGCTCCACAATGAAAGTCAGATGGAGGGAGAGTCTCTGGATCAAAGTGTGACAGATCTGTGAGTAAACAGTGTTTCAAGGAAAGGAGACTCTTCTGGGTTTCCTTTAGTGCTGCTTTTTGCCCTTAATGGGGATAGCCAACTTCTATATGAAAAGAAACCACTTCTGTTCCCAGCCACATGTTCCGTAGACCAACATAAAGTAATCTTGGCTGTTTCCACAGTCATCATCAAATCTAGTAAATCCAAACAGATCTGTCCTCTCCCTCTGCCTGCTTCTCCACAGTACAGAGAATTAGTCCCGGTTCTATGCTGTCACCACTAAAGTCAACTCGCAAGCCAGAATAGTTCACTGGTTGTTTGCCCTTAATCTGGGGTAGGAGCTAACAGGTACTCTCCATCAGACCGATTATTACTGTGGGTGTCAAAAAGAAGCAAAAATCCTTTCTTTCTTATGACAGACTTCACTGAATTGAATGTGAAGTAACTGGTCTATCTCTCTAGGATTCCTTACCACTTTAAAGAAACCGTTAACAGAACAGAAAAAGAACAGCAATTGCATAGCTAGATCTGCCACAGCTTCACTTTTTCATCAGAAAATGAGAGTAAATGCAGATTTCAGTCTTTATTTTAACATTTGTTTCAGCATAAATTAGTGATGAAGAAAAACCAGAGTCTACTGAATACTTGAGTTTGCAACCTTTATGTTGTACTATTACAGTTTAATGCATATCTGTGTTTATATAAAACTTTGTTTTACTTTCATTCAAATATTTTTAAAATTCTCTTCTGTAAAATGCATCATGTTCCAATAATGAATAATTTTTGCTAACAGTCTTACTTGACAAAGCTGCAATTTTAATATATTTGAAAATGAAGAGCAATTTCACCTGAACTCTGTACTTGTTTTTGCTTCTCAGCACAAAAATCAGGGTGATAAATATAAATGCTAAACTGAAATTAGCTACAGGGTAACCAGCCTGCTATTGAGAAAGCATAGCTAGATTTTTTTTGCCCTGAGTAGGCCCATTTCCTGCATGAACCACAGTGACTTGCTATTTAGATAGAAGGCAGGCTGTACAGACTTGTTTATTTGGAAAAAAAAACCTTCTCAAAACTCGATGTTTTTTTTCTTGGCATAAAAGTTCTAGGTGTTCTGCCTATTTTGTATGTCATCCACACTGACAATACATTTGTGCTTATCGTGCATGGGGCAGGCATGAACGTATTAAGCTTCACAATGCTTTTGTCAAGTTAGTATTACCTTTGTTTTACAAAGATCCGGATAGCTTGAAGTCAGGGATTTTTATTTTTTTTTTTAGAGATTGTATAGTGTACTGCTACTTTTAGTTAATGACTTAGGAGATTTCATGCTATCTGCAAAGGTGACATCAGAGGAGAGTTGGCTCTGGAGCCTACAACCAGGAGAAAAGAATGTGTGCCTGTGACTAATTTTTTGAGGGTTTTTTTAGGGTTGGGCTGCATTCATCTTGACCACAAAGTATTCAGGCTGGAAGGAAGGATTGCCACTAACACTGGAAGACTGTCCTTGAAAGGCTGCAAACTTTTAAAGGTTATCTCTCTCCCCTCATTCGTAATACATAAGCAGCAAAGCCAGAAAATAAGTGTTATATTTGGTTATTTTACCCATTTTTGGTCTTGATTCTTGAGTATTGCAAGCAAATCGTGAAGGGGTCCTAGTATAGTCATCCTTTGGGCTTGGGCATACTTTGCAGAGAACGCAAAGCGTACCTGCCCTTCCCCATGGCAGTTGTGAAGTTTGAAAGCTCTCGTAACTCAAACACTAACCTACCATGAGAATGGCCTTCTTGCCGTGCAGATGACTCGAGCATTTTGTGATGTTTGTGTGGTTTTGTGATACAGGAGAGATGCTGGGATTGATATATGAGTCAGATGATGGTGTGACACCTGTGGTACATGCTTAAGAAAAAAAATTACGAGCAGTATTGTCTATTACAGCACCGATGTTTTCACATTTTATTCTGTGGTGAGGAGTGTATGTGCGCCCAAAGCCTGAGTGTGGCTCAGGACATGAGCAGGTATGCAGCATGTGATATACTATGGGTGTTTTAGGGTAAGCACGCCAGAGCCACTGCACTGGGTCTGAGCAAAGGTTCAGCCAACCCCCTGTCCTGTCCTTGACAGCAGCCCGTAGCATATGTGCTGATAATTTGCCAGTATGTTCTCCCCCCTTCCAAGGATCTGCAGTTGGGGGACTTTCTGAGCTACTGGTTTTGGTTCTGCAAATTTCTTGGCCATACTAGGCTGGCAGGCCACCTTGACTTCCCACAGACCTTTGATAATTTTTTGAATAGTATCCAGCTGATGCTGGTTTGGAGACTTCAAGTAGTCTTGAAATACAAGTAATAAACCACCGTCATTCCAATAGTGTTCTCTTTGCAAGAAATTCAGTATATGGGGTGGAGTTTGCTTTGCATTGTGCCTGGGAAAGACAAAAAGGATCCAAGATCATGCTTGCTGGCTGCATGTTTGATGATTGCGTAAAAATAAATAAGTTACTAGGCCAGACTTCTTGACTGGAATTCTGCTGAAAACAGTCCAAGCTATCCATTTTTGACAGTGATTTGAACTAGCTGGTCTAGCTCTGAAAGCGGGGGAGAGGAGTGGCCAGGAGAGGTAGGGGAAGGCAGGCTGGCCACTCCGGATTGACAGTGAGAAGGCCTGCCATAGGCATCCTCTGTTGACAGAGTTTCTTATGGCCTTACTCTGTCTGAGTGCCTGGGTGAGGTGGTGGCGCTGGCCTTACCTAATTCTGGATGTGAGTCCTTGCTGGACTGGAAATGGGAGCTGGTACTCAAAGTGATGAATTTCTTCAATGACATTCTGATTTCTGTCTGTCCTCCTGTACTACTTATTATGCTGTTTTATTTTTGGCTTGTTTTCTTCACTTAACTGTGCCACTGTCATTTTTTCCTTGAAGTGACATGAAATGATTACTGTAGCATTAGTTCATAACAGCAGATTTTGAGAGACTGCCTTTATTGGTGCAAGTCCGTTCAGAATCGAATAAAACTCCTCTTGGTCATGAGCTACACAGGTATGTAGGAAGGTAAGCTGCATGTGGAGCCCGCATTACCCTAACTGACGCTAAAGCAGCTCTTTCCTTTAAGTAACAGTCTCCTTGTGTTCTCAGTTCTGTGATGTGAGTTTGGAGCAACCTGGTTGAAAACTTAATGTGAGAAGGTGAGATAATCAGTTTTTATTGTGGTTGCATCGCATTACTTCAAGGCTGGTGGATTCTCTTTTCAGGTGTTATTTTTAAACTGCTTTTATTTCTAATGTGTTCACATTTGCAGATTATGTCCTAAAGCAAAGGTCGGGATGCTGTTTAGCACTGTGTCAAGGGCCCCGGAGTAAAGCAATACACCGTGTTTTCATTTCAACATACTATAGAAATTACATGCCTGGAATAAGTGCTGCAGCAACAGAATCAAGATAGTAGGCAGTAGAAGTGTAAAAAAACAAACAACAAAAAAACACTACCATTGTATGAGGAGCAAAGAGTTTGTTCACAGTTTGGTACTGCTGTTAGTGGTAAGGACATCTCAGCCTGTCTGCGCTGCGGTCGCTTTGGTTTGCGTTCTTTTTTTCCCTGATGATTCATGACATTCTGTCCTGACCTAATTACAACTCAGGTGGCCAGGCTGGTTGTCACCATAGCCCAAAGGGCAAACTGTGTAGCAATACACTGCATATGGTCTGAAGCATTTGCTGCTTAGGCAGAACCAGGTGAGAAGAGTGGGGACGGGAGCACCTCTCAGCACCCACCCGTGGCAAAACCTGCCTCTTGGCTATGTGCTGAGACGGCAGTTTTACTTGCCACACAAACATGAAGGTAAAGTGCGTGCCTTCCTGGTTTTGTTTTTAAGGCTGT